CAGTGAGCACGTGTGTAGCAGCTTTTAGAGCATTGAGAGCCCAGTCATTTGGAGAAGTATTGACTTCTGCTGAACTTTGAGCCGAGTGCAGTCTGAGAGGAAGCAGAATGAAATGGGTTCAGTGGTTTGTGAGTGTTCAGTGTTTATTACCCCTGACACAGGAATAAATGAAGGTGGCTGTGATGTGGAGATGGGATTTTGGGAGTGCAGAGAGTGGACAGGCACTGCCAAACCTCGGCAGTCAAAGCACTGGCAATGGAGTTGATGAATAACTGGCATTTTCTTGAAATAATCATTAATTTGGATGTGCCAGGAGCCATCAGGAACTTAGTGTGCTGTTGGATACTGGAGCCACATGTGGCAGAGGGATGGTATCTGCTCTAATGACAAAGAAGAGGGAAAAAATAAATCCAGCTTTATTTAACAGACTGAAGATCTGAGCAGATAAAGTTTATGACCTGCTCTTCATAGTACAGGAAATGTTGATAGAGTTAAATCCTGAACTAAGCTCTTAGTCTCTGTGAAGCTGCTGTTTCATTCTTATTTTGTTTTTCTGTTCTCCTGTTTCAGCCTATTGGAGAATATATTAATGACTGGAGCTGCTCATTTTTAATGCAGGAGTGGTTCTTCAATGCTGGCCATTGTTTTTTCCAACCTGTGGTGTGCATGTGTACACCTGCACACCAAATAACATCCCACAAATCTGAACTCTTATTGATTTACAAGAAAAAATCATCTGCTCTGATGATAAATAATTCAAAGCTCCTTTAAGATCCAGCAGAAGAAGGGCAGTAGTAAGGAGTTCCTTGACCTAGTTCCAATAGTAGGAGCATTTTGCATAGGGATACACCCCATTGCCTCATTCTGTGCCCTTTCCTTGTCTGAGGAATGAGTTACTTTCAGAAGAACTTCAGGGACAAAGTCTGTGTGAAATGAATAGCATAACCTTTATAGAATTATGGAATAGTTTGGGTGGAAAAGACCTTAAAGCCCAGCCAGTTCCACCCCCTGCTATGGGCAGGGACACCTTCCACTGTCCCAGGGACACCTTCCACTGTCCCAGGGACACCTTCCACTGTCCCCATCCAGCCTGACCTTGGGCACTTCCAGGGATCCAGGGGCAGCCACAGCTTCTCTGGGCACCCTGTGCCAGGACCTCCCTGCTCTCACAGGGAAGAAATATTTCCTAATATCTAATTTAAACCTCCTCTTTGCCAGTTTGAAATCATTCCCCCTTGTCCTGTTGCTACATGCTCTTGGAAAAAGTCCCTCTCCATCTTTCTCAGAAGTGTCAGAACGAGTGCTGATTGTTTTCCTCTCCTCTGCAAATCCTGGTTTGGGCATATTCCCTCATCCCTTGGGGTTGTGTTCCCTGTGGTCAGTTCCTAGTTCCAGTGGCCATCCCTGGGCACACACACCCAGACACCCAGCAGAAGTTTGATTTCTCCTGCTTGGCATGCTTCTCCTGGTAGTCCCAGGCTGTCACTGCTGTGTTCTGGGGAGCAGCAGGAGTGGCTGTTGTGTCCAGTGCTGCAGCCAAGGACAAGTACTGGCTTTGGCTGAGCTCCTCTCCAAGGCTCCTTCTGCTTTGCTGCTCCTCCTGGAACTCGTCTGAGAGGGAGGATCATAGATGCTCTTGCCTTACATGGCCTTTTCTGTGTTAGAAAGGACATAATGTGTTTTCTTCTGAGCTTTTCAGACATGTTTTCAAGTAGACATTTTCCTCCTGTGCCGACCTTGGCACTGCGGCTGCTGCCTGTGTCCTGCCAGGCTGCTCACAGACACTGAGAGCTGTTTAATTCCAGAATGGAGCTTAACCTTGAAGGCTGCTTTTCAGCAGGTTTCTTTGATCAAGGCTGGAGTAACTAGAGCTCCAAGATGCAGCTTGAAGCTCCTTTCAACAGACTGTTCAGCTCGTGATTGAAATAAATCCCTTTTCTGGGCAGGTGGAGGAGCTGACCAGGTTAGAGTGACCTGTTTATGGTTTGATGAGGGTGCAGATAAGTCATCTTCTGCCTGCTTGGGGCTGGCAGTGTGCTCCAACCTGCTCTGCAGGCCTGAGGTGTTTGTTCAGCTCCTTCGTTTGGGGCAGCTTCACCCAGGGGCTCTCAGAAGTGCAAGAGCACCCAGCTGCCCATGCCCAGGCACTGCTGGGCATCTCCCTGGGGCCAGTGGCAAAGTGCTCCCAGTTAAACCAGTAATTACAGAATCCCGCAATCACTGAGGCTGGAGAAGCCCTCCAGGAGCATCGAGTCCAAGCTGTGCCTTGTCCCCACCTTGTCACCCAGCCCAGAGCACTGAGTGCCACGTCCAGATGTTCCTTGGACACTTCCAGGGATGCAGACTCCATCTGGGCAGTCCCTTCCAATGCTTGACCACGCTTTCAGTGAAGATAAAGATGCCCAGAAAGAGGCACACAGCGTCCAAGCTGCATTTCTCACCAAATTTTAGGCCTGACTTTGACTTCCCCTAAACATACTTCAGTTGACTTGTGGTATGTGGATAGTAGATGGAGTGTTCCTGAATTTTTTGTTGTTTGTGGTTTTCTTCCTCTTTGAAATGAAAAGAATACATGAACAAAAGGTTTTGCTGCAGTCCAGTTGGATGTGCTTTCATTTCTGAAGTCTCCCTGGATTTTGTTTTTAGCCAACTTCTGTTTCTGCTCCTTGTGAGTGCTGCTATTAAGGTGGATCATGCTGTGAACTGAGATGAACTCGTGCAGAAACGGCCACTTCTTGCATTAGTGCGTGGTTTGTGCTGATGGCATCTCTGGCCAGGGAAAGCTTTTCAGAAATGGCTGCATTTCTGTGAAATGCAGCTTTTAATCCCAGATTGTTTACATGTAGGGCAACTAATGAGTCAATGGACTAAAGCAGAGAGGGAACCTTTCTTCCTGTTTGTGGAATGTGCTAAGCTCCATTTAGAAATTTTCCATCCTTCTGAAGGATACGTGGACTCTGCTTCAATTCTCTGAACTCCAGAAGATTTCTACCCGTAACTTCCATGTGAGAGTTAGCAGGTGATTATTCTGGATAGTCATAATCCACTCCATGTAATTTATTCCTATTTATTCACATGGATAAGTAGCAATGATTTTAAAGCAGAGCGAGCGTCAAGGAGCTGGAACGTAGGGCGGACTCCTGTAGCCTGTGATCATTTTACACATTTGTTCAGTTTCTGTGGCTGCAAAAGACATTTTGTTCCTTTGACGTTATCCATCAGACCAGAAGTACGGGATGTCAGCAGAGGAGGAGGTGCTGGAGAGGTTTGCTCCTTACACAATCACTGTTTTCCTGGGCGCCTCAGTCGCACGTTAAATTTTCATTATCTTCTCCCATTGTCTAGACTGAAGATCTGTTGATGTAATTTCTTGCAGCGCACTCGTTGGAGCAGAGGAAAGCTTCCTTGATGTCATTATTATGAAAAAGGCTTATTCTGTTACTGCTGGTCTGGTGGTCAGTGGGAACGGGACGGTGCCGGGGGCGATGGCAGCGCCAGGGGGCTCAGGGAGGAGGGAGAGCTGGGGGCTCTGAGAGCTCCTGCCAGGCTTGGTCATCTCCAGTGGCTCCTCTGTAAGCTCAGAGGGAAGAGGGGAAGGTCTGGTTGGCAGAGATTTGGGTTGGATTTTAGGAAGAAGTTGTTCCCTGTGAGGGTGGTGAGGCCCTGGCACAGAGAAGCTTGGCTGTCCCATCCCTGGATGTGCCCAAGGCCAGGTTGGATGGGGATTGGAGCAGCTTGGGATAGTGGAAGGTGTCCCAGCCCATGGCAGGGGTGGAACAAGATATTCTTTAAGATCCCTTCCAATGCAAACCATTCTGTGACTCCACAATCACTTATTTACTGCTCCCTCTTCATTTAAAATCAGTATTTTGTTTAGATTGTTAAAATACACAGAGGGCAGACCCAGTTCTTAATGAACAAATAAACAGCAAGTTCGTCACTGAATAATTTATCATCTCAAACCTGATTAACAGTGTTCAGCCCTCCCAGTTCTTGTCTGACTTGATGTGGTGGTTGGCCTCCAGAGCTCTCGCTTTGGATCACACTGTTCAGAGATCCGTGTTCCACGTGGGACTGGGAGATACACAGAGAACTATTAATAGGATTTTTTCCTACATGGGAGTTTAGGGCCTTCCAGCAAAGTCCTTGGCTTGATTATAGACTTTTTTTCTGGTCAAGTCATTCAGACTTCGTGCCTCAGCTCCTCTGAGGAGGAGTGTGGATGCTTTCCTCCCCCCATGGGGGAGATGTTTGTCAGTATTTGGGAGGCTTCTCAGAATTTTGATGATGGGGTCCCTGTGAGCACACAAGAGGGGATGTCTCTGAGATCAGCAAGGCTTAGCTGCTCAGTCTTGCTGCTGCAGAAATAATCAGTGATATTTAATGGCCTTGTTTAGAGCATCAGTACTTTGTTCAAGGTTATTTTTATAATAATAAATAGTATAATTATAATAATAAGTAGTGTAATTATAGTAATAAATAGCATGTATGGAAATTATTGATTTTAAAATTGGAAACAGAGAAAGTCTGGCGGAATTTTGGCTCGATACTGTGACAATAGAGTTGCTTTACCAAGGCCCAGCACTGCTGGCCTGCATTGATTTTAAGATTTATGTTCTTGTATTGTTGCCCATATGAAATTTTTATGGGCATTATATTACAATGAATATTGAAGTTACTTGACAAATAAAGGAAATCTTTGTTAATGTGGTTTAAGTGAGTGATTGTGACATTGTAAATTAGGCAAAGTAGATGTTAAGTGCACTGCAGCCAAGCAGGGCCTGATGGAGCTGCTGTTGGCTCCTTGTGTGACTTGTGCAGCTATTCTACTGTGCAAGCTAAACCTGAATAAACAGGAATAAAATGGTGACCAGGCTGTCCCCTGGGAAGTGACCCCAGGGATCAGCTCACCCAAAGCCAGGCAGGGCTTTTCTTCAAAGGTTTAAAAAAAGCAATTTAAAGTAACCCCCCTTTTTTTTTCCCCTTTTTTTTTCTTTCAGTATCCGCAGTGTTATGCAGAAATACCTCGAGGAAAGGGGTGAATTAACCTTCGACAAGATCTTTCATCAGAAAATTGGTAAGTCATGTCTCAAGAAAATGTTATTTGTGTAGATATTTTCAAGATGAGCTTCGTTTTTACATTTCTCTGTGGTGCCTGCTGAGAACCCAGTGCTGTAGATTGAAGAACACTGGAGGGTGGACAGGACTTAGTGAAATAAAGGTCTTCAAGAAGATGAAATGTTGTGAAAGGGAAGAAGACAGAGCAAGGCCATCTGTCAACTTCAGGTTCTGGAAAACTACAGGGAAAATAATTAAATTATTTGGAAACATCGAGGAGAAAATGATATTACTTGGTATGGGCTTGTCAACAATGTAATGTGTCACATCAGTTAAACTTTTTTTTTCTTTGCAGAGGTAATGAGCCTGTTGATAAGGGAGCAGGAGGAAAGATCCCAGATGTGTTGTCTTGACCCTCTGACATGGTGTTCTTGCTCCCAACATGGGGAGGGTGAAAACTGTGTGTGCAGGGGGTGAAACTGCTGGGAAAATGGGCTGGTGGAGCAGTTAATCGTGGAAAGGTGGATGCAGGGAACGGGAATATCAGAGAACAGTGCTCAGCCAGCTGAGTGCTGCAGTGAGGAGCTCTGTGTTCTGCTGTGACACACCGAGGACAAGGACAAAAACCCCACAAACCAGGGGAGGGGGGAAATGCCATGCTCCCAGGGAAATCCAGCAGTGTCCTTCCTCTCCACCTGTGCCAGGGCAATCACAAGGCACAGCCTGGGGACCCTCAGGGCAGGGACTTGGCTGTGACAGCCAGCCCTGAGCTGTGTTGGCTCAGCTGGATCACCGGACTAAATATAAAATCAGTGTTGTAGCCAGTGAGGCATGTGAAATAATCCTCTTCTGGCAGAATGTTGTGTCCATCCTGGCAGTGGATTAAAAAAATATACATGGACCTGCTGGGAAAAGTCCAGGAAAGAGCAGTGGGAATGAGCAGTCTGTTAAATCTGACCTACAGGGAAGTATTGAAATAGGGTGTGCTGTGGGCACTGGAAGGGAGAAGTGAGGTTGAACATGATTCAAAACCAGAAAAGCTGTTGCAGAAATGATGAGGTTAGTCCATTTTCTAGAGCTTTAATGTTTCAATGTAAAAAAAAAAAATTAAAATTTTAGTGGTAGTGTGGGTAACAAAGCAGGGAGTGGATTTCATGAGGGGCTCTTGGGATCTTTGTCTGGCAGATTTGAGGAGTGAGTTGGCTGGGATAGCACAGCTGCTCCTGTCTTGGAAATAGGGAATGGGCTGGGAAGTCTTGTGGAGGTCAGTGGTTTTATTCCTGCCTGAAATGGGACTGCAGTGAACAAAGTACCTGATTTCCCAGGAGAAGTGGTGCAATGGGGGCATCTTAGGGCTGGTTGAGTTCTCACTGGCCTCCCTTCTGGCTGGAGCAGAAATACCCCAAAACCTTCCTGCTTGCCTGGCAGTCTGCAGCTCACTGGAGTGGGAGTTTTAGGCATTGCCAGATTAAAATAATCGATGTTCCTGTGTCTCAGAGTGTCATTCATGAGTCTCAGAGCCAGTGGAAGTCTTGGGGAACTTCTCAGTGTTTTTCAGCAATTGGAGTGTGGTCTGTACTTGTGCTTAAAACCATGACTTTTTATTGTGGCAGAAAACTTTTGCCATGTAAATGCAGATACCTTGTTTGCTTGTACTGACACCTCAGTGTGTACTTCAGCTCCAATGCCTGTGCTGAATCGTTAATATTTTGCTGTAGCCTGGCAGTTGCAAAATAAGCAGAATTTTAAGCAACCAAACACAGCCTGTCTTCAACTGAGTCTCTTTGGGGGCAGTGAAATGAAGAAGTCCTTTTTTTTTTCTCTCTATAAAAAGAGAAGTCAAACAGACCATCTTCTATGTAATGGATATGTCTATTTATGTAATTGAATACTTTTCATTACCTGTTACAGCGAGGACTGTTGCAGTTATTTTGATTAGTTACAGCAATTACAGTTAGGTAACTGAAGCCTTGGAAGGATTAGATCTTTCTCTTTTTTTCCCCATGTTGGTAGTAGCCATTAAACCTGGAATTTTAGAGCCCAGTTTCATTAACATTTTAGTTTCTGTGCACAGAGGAGAGGTTTCCTCCTCCTCTCTCTGGGTACAGTCAGAGCAGGACTTGCCCTGGATTACCTGGAAATGAGGAGCAGTTCTGTGAATGCTGTGCAGAGTTTCAGTTATTTCTGAAGCTGAAATAGGATTTAGAATGGAATTAAAAAAAAAAACACGACTGTTTTTAACAGCAGACTTTGCATCTCACTGGAAAATACAGTATTTCCTTACTGTGGTTGTTCATTGAAATTTGATTGCGTTTTCTAGCGTGTTCTTTGCCACTCAATTAGCTCTGTTTCCAGACATTAGCATAATTGCTTGTGGTAAAGTACCTGCAGTTTTAGGCAAGCGTTATGCAAAGGGCTGTGAGCAGAAGTATGGGGAGGTAATTAAAACTCTAATCACCTTTTTGTTCTGCTCCTTGTCTCTTTGGCTGGGGGGGATGTGGTGAGACCACAGGTGGGGCAGGTCCTGGGTGTGCCGGTGTGGGGGGGTCTGCATCAGCCTGGGTCTCCAGTAATTCTGCTGGATCATCCCTGGTTTTTCCTGTGATAATTTTGTGAGGAGCCATCCAGCACTCCCTGCTTTATCCTTACACGCCGACTATAAAATGCACCGAGCTCCCCAGATTTTCCTTGGCAACTGCTCTAGATGGTTTTTTTTTTTTTTTTTTTTTTTTTTTCCCAGACCTAAATTTTTCTTCTCAGCTCCAGGTCACTGTTCTGTTTTTTCTTTTTTTCCTATTTTTCAGTATCCTTTCAGATGTAAACCCAGGCTTTGATCAGCTGTCTGATACAAGGGCTCTGATGTCAGTAGGGATGTTTCCCTGTGCATGTGTCTAATTATGGTGCTGGTCTCATCACCTGCAAGTGTTTATTCTTAGTGAGCCCTAAAATCGTTTTTAGGGTCAGTGCTTTCCTGGTCCCACTGCCAAAACTTGGCCCAAATTCCCTTCCTGCCAGGTGTGCAACTGCAGGGAGTCACAGGAGCAGCTCTGGCTTGGAAACCAAAACCTTTAGGCTCAGGATAAGAGCAGGAAGCTCATCAGGGATGAAAATGGCCCTGAGGCTCCATCAGATTTGCATAAACAAGCCTGTCCCCTGTTTGCATCTCTTCCCTCAGCAAGGCAGGCAGGCTGCTCTCATCCCTTGGTGCTGGCGCTGCTGTTTGCCCCCCGAGTGATGCTCCAGAACGATCTGGAGCTCTCTAAGAATGTCCTGGTGAGTCAGAGGACATGGAGCTCGTGGAAGCACCCAGAAGAGTGCTCTGGCAGCCCGGCCCAGCCGGCTGTTCCTTCAGAAGCTGCTTCCTCCACAGCAGAAGCCTCTTGGGGAAGTACAGCCTGTCTCGAAGCCGAGTGCGTAACCACCTTAGCTGGTTTTCTTTTACCACATCCTGTTTGCTACAACACCAGAGATTAGGAGTTTCTTTAGAAAAAGAAACGTTTTGAGAGGTTTTGGAAGTGTTCAAGGCCAGGTTGGGCAGGCCTAGGAGCAGCCTGGGCTAGTGGAAGTGTCCCTGCGCATGGCAGGGATGGAATGAGATGGTCTGTAAGGTCAAACCAAACCATTCCATGGCTCTGCTATCCCAATATCCATAAATTACACGTGGAATCCACTCTGCTTCACAACTGTGTTAAAATTGCACGTGGAGTCCTTGTCATGTTCCCCTGCCCTGTGGGGTGGGGACACTTGGAGAGACCCTGCCCTCAGAGGGAGGTGGGAAACAAGCAGATCAGGGGCTGCTGCAGCAAAGGCCTTCAAGGGAATCCATGAGATCATAATACTGCTTTAGAACAGCATTATCCTGGTTATTCAGTGCTTTGGAGCAAACTTGCTGCCAGCTACAACTCCGTGACTCTGGGCTTTCAGACTGTGCTGTGAGGCAGGGAATGGAATTGGGTCAGAAATCCTGGGATGTGATCTCAGAGCATCCCACAGCTCCGTGCCTGGCTTGGGTCAGCCTTGGGTTCTCTGATGGCTGCTTGAGACCCTCGTGAAGGCTGACAGGCTGCCCTCATCCCTGGGCTGGGGGGACGTGGCAGTTCCTTCACACCCTTCTCAGTTTCTCATCTCTTGCACAGCCGTTGGGGCTGGGGGAAGGATGAGAACAGGACGTGTTTTAGCTGCTTCAGCAGCTGCTCTTGCCACAGTGTAAGTTTTTCACCTTTCCTAGGAAGCAACTTGCTTTTTTCCCCCCCAAAGGTGGCTCAGTTTTTTTTTTTTTCTTTGTGAAAAAGAGCTAATTAAAACAACTTGTAGTTGACGTAAGAAGTTACAAACCTCTTTTTTTTTTTTCCTTATTTACCATCCACTTTCGCAGAGTGAGGGCTGATCTTTCTGAGGTGATTCATTCCACTGTCTTCCATATCCTCCTCAAGCAGCTCCAAGCTGGAGGCTTTCCCAGCAGGGGGGAAGCATTTTACCATCTGCACCAGGGCTGGTTCCAACCCACGGGGGCTTGTGGGGGCTCTCAGCCCCTTCCCTGCTCCCCTTGTCCTGATCCAGCTCAGCATGGATCATGTTTGTTCTGCAGCTCCTCAGCTGAGCTTCCAGAGCATTTGGTCTGTTTTGTAGCTCCTTCTGCACAGGGACTTTTGTGCCTGCCCTTCTCATTTTCAGGGAAATGTGCTCAAACTGACCCTGCTGGCTGCTGTTTCCTCCAGCTTGGTCAGGGACAACTTTCTGTTAAAAAAAAAAACCAACAAAACCAACCAAAACTGGGGTGAGAACAGCTACAGCAGTTTTGGGTTTGTTTTTTTTTTTTTTTTTTTTTTTTTTTTTTTTTTTTTTTTTTTTTTTTTTTTTTTTGGGGGGGGCAGTGAATTATGCTTTCTGTTGCTTCTTTCTCTAGTTAAGGACTCATTATTTCAGAGTTTTGGTGCTAATCATTAAATAGGAGTTAAAATCTGTTGAGAAAAACATTCTTGGTCTTCCTCTTTCTGCTGGCACCGTGCTCCCTGAACT